TTCACCCCTCTGTAAAATTAATACTCCAAAAAGGAGGTAAAGACTCGAGGCGATACCTTTACAGTTATTAATTATACTTAAATCTTTTCAGCACTACACGTTAGCACTATTGTATTGAAGGTAGACTACAAGTAATTCTTAGGTGACTTTAGATTTATATCTTGTAAGATATTTTCTGTCTTTTTTTTTTTTCTTTTTTTTTTTTTGTATTGATTTATTTTTTTTTAATTTTGATATATATTTTTTTTAATTTGTTTTTCTCCGTCATTTAGTTAGTATCGTTCTTTTTCCCAGCTGTATTGTATTAGAAAATGTAATGTAAATGTTATATATAAGAGGAGTGTATTAAATAAGTGAAATAAAAAAATAAAAAAATAAATATAGTGGTTAAAAAAAAAAATCTTTGTAGTTTGGATTAACATTTGTGACTTTGCTCATAAGGCTCTTCACACCATTCAGTAGAAGCTCGATAGAGGTTTGTGTATTCTGGGACACTGTTCCTTGAGGATCATTCGTTGTTGAGTCCTCCTTGAGGTTGTTTGTTTCTTTGACATTCATCACCGTAGCTTTGATGTACTCATCTATCGTGACGTCAGATTCTGAATGACTTGCTCTGGCATAATTGACTGAGAGGTATAGAGGCTTTGCAAGTAATACTAAAGGTGTCATAAAGAATGCCAAGGTGTTCTAAAAAGTCTGTCGTTCAGACAAACCCGTCATAAGCTTGATTTTCCCTGCAGCAGCATCCGTTGTGAAAAGTGTATCTGAAACACGACAAATGCTTGCACTTGAACGAAGCTGCAGCTTTTTCCAGTCCCATCTTGCGCTCCTTCGCTTCCATCTCCGGCAAGAGTTTCAACTTTCTTGGTCGATGGATTGTACCACTTTACTTGACGACCCCAACATCTGTTAAAACTAGTGTGCCCTTGAATCTTGCTACTTTTTTATCTCTCTGCAGTTGTCAGTCTTATTTTCAAGCACATTTGTTACCTCACTGGATTCCATGTCAAAACAGTACAGGCCACCGTTAAAATAGGGACTTTTGCCGCAGCGAAGTAAATAACTGAAGAATCAGATTTTGCAATCGACTATAGGCTTCTCTTCTCCAGCGCGATAGAGACTTACTATCGCTTTCAATACAGCCATGCATCGCTACCGGTCAGCATGAGAGAAAGTAGAAAGTCGTAAAATAGTAGAGCTGTCAAAACGTCTGTCAACTCGCGCAACGACATCCATGCGACAAATTATGCAGACACTTTCGACACTTCAGGTTTCGATTGTAATTCTCACTACCAGAATCCGTGGGAAAGAACGCAAAAGCAGTAAGCGTTCGAACGTGACTGTGAGCGTGACGTGAGAGTGGCAATGCCGCGAGCCGCTACTAGCGTGGACAAGAACACATAAATGCATAACACATCAGACTCAACAAAAGATTTCGAGACCTCATTTTGTGGCTAGATTTATTTGCGGTTAACAATTTTTTACGGCTAATGGTTAAAATTCTTACATTTTTATGCCTAACGGCTAAATTTTTGGGCGTTTTACGGCTAGCGGTTAAGGGGGGAGAAACTCAACTACAACAGCTGTACTCTTTAAGAGGCTATAAAAGCACTTAAACATCTATAATTTTCGAAATATTGTACATTTCCTCAAACGCATACTACAAGTTGTAGATAATGCCGTATTTTGGTAAAATGTATTGTTATATTTCGGAAACGATCCACTCAGTCCGAGTTTTTAGACGTTTTCTATTGTGGTCACGTGACATACCAAATATGGGCGTGGTTCGAAACATTTAAAGGAAACGTGAATCAAACAAACACGGTAAACTTTGATGCCCACTAGACTTCAGGAGCCCCCAAAAAGGAGGTTTTCAGATTTCCTTGGCAACAGACTTATAGTTAAGTTTCTCCCCCCTTAACCCCATTGAGACCCTCAAGAAAGGCCCATTTTTCCTCCGAAAGGTTGTGCGTAGGTAAAAAGTACTTTAAGATCTTTCAAAGGATGTTCCTATAAGCTATTGTCATTCCAGACACACCTTCTAGTGCCAAGAGACACGGTTTACATCGGTTTTCGAACTGTTTACAAACGAGTTACAAGTGGTTTTGACGCAATTGTGACGTCATAGATATGGTTAGAAAAAATTTGTTTTAGGAATGGAATCAGGATACAAAACTATATAAGAAAATATCTTTAGCTGTACTTATAACTTGTCTACCACGAAATTCCTACGGTTTACAAATGCTTAACCCTAGAATATAAAAGAAATCTCATTACTATTCTTTATAAAGCAGTTGTAAATCGTTGTAAACCGTGCAATTTATCTTACAATCAGCGAGAGTCTTTCTAATTTTATGTTATTTTGTGTGCTTAGTTGAATGCTGCCACCAAAATGATCCACAAACCGAGCTGTGACGTCATTTTGACGTCCTTCTCAGTGATAATCCGTTTGAAAACCGTCACGCAATATTGTAACGCGTCGGTAAAACAGTTCAAATTTGTGCCTCTCATCGGATTTGGGAAAGAAAACAAAGATAAACATGTGCTCGTTGTGTTCTGGTGAGAATTGCGATAAAAAAATGACGATTAATTTCAAAAAGCCAGCATATCGTATATGCCACACCAATGCTGCTCCATGAAATTGACCGACGTCACTGTAACGTCACCCGTTCATTACATAATCTCCATTTAACCCCTAATTCTTATTTAGCTTTAAGCTGTTACGACCCATCATGAGTTACTCGAGTAACTAAGAAAGCAATGTATGGTTACCTCGTTCTAATTACCATGTTACCCAAGTGGAACGGAAGCAATATATTTCCCTGAGAGGAAGAAATAGCAATGTACATTACTCTCATTCTCAAAGCGTGTTGTCCAAGCAGAATATCTCGTTTTAAAGCGTGTTGCTCCTGATCCCATATATTATACCACGTCATGACCCTACTATTAGTTCAGGGCCAGGTTCCATTGTTACTATTGTTTGTATATTATTTTCTCAGCCAATCCTGTGAGACGTTCCGAAGAGCTTCGTAGCGACCCGAAGTCATTTGCAAACATATTAGGCCCTTCTCTAATGATATGATTTGCATAAAAATCGTCAAAATCGTCAACATGAATAGTTCTATATCGTCAACATGAATCGTCATGAATTCCGCAAAGCTGATTTTACTTGACGCCAATCAGTTCTTCAAAGCTGATTTTGCTTTGACAAATTTGACTAAAATTAGTCAAATTCGTCAAAATCCTCATGTCTACGCGGGTAACTCATCATGATGTCGATTTGAATAACAATAGCCAAAATCAACAAATTCGACATGTTAGATCAATCTCTCGTGATTTGAGGAAAGTTCGTACAGTCTGATATTTTCTTTACTGCCAGCATTTCTGGACAAAAGAGGACAATAAGAGAAGGTGGAAATGGATGCACCAACAAGAAACCACAATTATCATTAGTTTAATCGATTGACGCGCTGGCTAATGGATTTCCTAATTATTTTCAACCTACCTTACTAGCCATGACCGGGAGAATGTCCTAAGCCGGGTTTATGCCCTGATGCACTGAAGGCGGTTAATTCAAAGGTGATATCAAGCTATTCAATGGTTCCGTTTTAGTAACCTCGGCAGAAAACGCAAGTGTCTGCATACAGATTAACCTGAAATCACAGAAGGCGCTTTCCGTAAAATTGTTTTCAATTTCTGATTGGCAGTTCAGTATTGAGACGAGCATGAAACACACTTCAACACGAAAATACAGTCGAACCTGCCGTAAACCACCCCAACATGTCAAGCCCAGGCTAGCCTGGGCTTGACATGTCGGGGTCGCTTAAGCTTACGGCAGGTTCGGCTGTATTTTCATGTTTTAATGTGTTTCATGCTCGTCTCAATACTAAACTGCTAATCAGAAATTGAAAACAGTTTTACGGAACTCGCCTATCCATGATTTCAAGTTAATCTGTATGCAGACACTTGCGTTATCTGCCGAGGTTAATAAAAATGGAACCATTGGAATAGCTTGATATCACCTTTGATTAAACGCCTTGAGTACATCAGGGCATAAACTCGGTTAATTTGAAGACATTCTCCCGGTCATGGCTAGTAAGGTAGGCTGAAAATAATTAGGAAATCCATTATCTAGCGCGTCATAATGATAACTGTGGTTTCTTGTTAATGCATCCATTTCCATCTTCGCTGATTGTCCTTAGTCTTATGTCCAGAAATGCTGGCAGTAAAGAAAATATCAGACTTAACGAACTTTCCTCAAATCACGAGAGATTGATTTAACATGTTGGCGAATTTGACAATTTTGGTTGTTGTTATGCAAATTGGCATCATGAGTTACCCGAGTGGAGCTGAAGATTTTGACGAACTAAAATTCGTCAAAGCAAAATCAGCTTTGAAGAATTGACGTCAAGTAAAATCTGCTTGCGGAATTCATGACGATTCATGTTGACGATTTATGTTGATTCGTGTTGAGAATTTTGACGATTTTTATGCAAATTATATCATTAGAGATGAGCCTAATATGTTTGCAAATGACGATTTCAGCGATTTGTATGCAAATTACATCCTGAGTGACTCCAGAGAAGCAGAAAGCAAGGTTCCCTCGTTCTAATTACCATGTTACCCAAGTGGAAATGAAGCAATATATATATATACGTTTTACATTTGTAAAAATTATCGTAATTCAGCCCTCGGACTGAAATAGTAATTTTAATAAAAGTATCTATCTACTATCTATCTAGCTCAGTGTCACAGACAGAATACCTCGTTGTGAAGCATCTTGTCCGTGTGGACTGCGAAAGCCAAATATGCCTCCATCGTTTTAAAGTGTGTTTCTTGAGTGGAATATATGATTTCTTCGTTCTAAAAGCGTATTGCCCGTGCAGAACGTAAAGTAATATATAGTACATCCCGAACGTTTTAAAAGCGTATTACCCGAGAAGAACGGATAGCGATATAGCAGAGTGGTAACGAGGTATATGGGATCAGGGTGCAAAGGCCTATAAACGGCCAGGATCAGGGATCACAGCCCCGTGATCTGGAATCACATGGTCGGGATCATGGATCACAGCCCCGGGATCAGGGATCACAGCCCAATGATCTAGAATTACAGGCACGGGATCAGGGATCACAGCCTCGTGATCAGAGCCCACAGCCCCGTGATCTGAGATCGCAGCCCCGGGATCAGGGATCAGAGCCCCGTGATCTGGAATCACATGCTCGGGATCTGGAATCACATGCTCGGGATCAGGGATCACAGCCCCGTGATCTGAGATCACATGCTCGGGATTAGGGATCACAGCCCAGAGATCTGGAATTACAAGCTCGGGATCAGGGATCACAGCCCCGTGATCTGGAATCACATGCTCGTGATCAGAGATCACAGTCCCCTGATCTGAGATCACATGCTCGGGATTAGGGATCACAGCCCAGTGATCTGGAATTACAAGCTCAGGATCAGGGATCACAGCCCCGTGATCTGGAATCACATGCTCGGGATCTGGAATCACATGCTCGGGATCAGGGATCACAGCCCCGTGATCTGAGATCACATGCTCGGGATTAGGGATCACAGCCCAGTGATCTGGAATTACAAGCTCGGGATCAGGGATCACAGCCCCGTGATCTGGAATCACATGCTCGGGATCAGGGATCACATGCTCTGGATCAGGGATCACAGTCCTGTGATCTGGAATTACAAGCTCGGGATCAGGGATCACAGCCCCGTGATCTGAGATCGCAGCCCCGTGATCTGGAATCACATCCTCGGGATCATGGATCACAGCCCCGTGAATTGAGATCACATGCTCGGGATTTGGGATCACAGCCCAGTGATCTGGAATTACAAGCTCGGGATCAGGGATCACAGCCCCGTGATCTGGAATCACATGCTCGGGATCAGGGATCACAGCCCCGTGATCTGAGATCACATGCTCTGGATCAGGGATCACAGTCCTGTGATCTGGAATTACAAGCTGGGGATCAGGGATCACAGCCCCGTGATCTGAGATCGCAGCCCCGTGATCTGGAATTACATCCTCGGGATCAGGGATCACAGCCCCGTGAATTGAGATCACATGCTCGGGATTTGGGATCACAGCCCAGTGATCTGGAATTACAAGCTCGGGATCAGGGATCACAGCCCCGGGATCAGGGATCACAGCCCCGTGATCTGGAATCACATCTTCGGGATCAGGGATCACAGCCCCGTGAATTGAGATCACATGCTCGGGATTAGGGATCACAGTCCCGTGATCTGAAATCACTTGCTCGGGATTTGGGATCACAGCCCCGTGATCTGGAATTACATGCTCGGGATTAGGGATCACAGCCCTCTGATTTGAGATCACATTCTCGGGATTAGGATCACAGTCCCGTGATCTGAGATCACTTGCTCCGGATTAGGGAGCACAGCCCCGTGATCAGGAATAACATGCTCGGGATTAGGGATCACAGCCTTGTGATCTGGAATTACAGGCTCGGGATCAGGGATCACAGCCCCGGGATCAGGGATCACAGCCCCGTGATCTGGAATCACATGCTCGGGATCAGGGATCCCAGCCCCGTGATCTGAGATCACATGCTCGGGATTACGGAACACAGCCCAGTGATCTGGAATTACAAGCTCGGGATCAGGGATCACAGCCCCGGGATCAGGGATCACAGCCCCGGGATCAGGGATAACAGCCCCATGATCTGGAATCACATCCTCGGGATCAGGGATCACAGCCCCGTGAATTGGGATCACATGCCCCGGATTAGGGATCACAGTCCCGTGATCTGAGATCACTTGCTCCGGATTAGGGATCACAGCCCCGTGATCTGGAATAACATGCTCGGGATTAGGGATCACAGCCCTGTGATCTGGAATTACAGGCTCGGGATCAGGGATCACAGCCCCGGGATCAGGGATCACAGCCCCGTGATCTGGAATCACATGCTCGGGATCAGTGATCACAGCCCCGTGATTTGAGATCACATGCTCGGGATTAGGGATCACTGTCCTGTGATCTGAGATCACTTGCCCGGGATTAGGGATCACAGCTCCGTGATCTGGAATTACATGCTCTGGATTAGGGATCACAGCCCTGTGATCTGGAATTACAGGCTCGGGATCAGGGATCACATCCCCGGAATCAGGGATCACAGCCCCATGATCTGGAATTACATGCTCGGGATCAGGGATCACAGCCCCGTGATTTGAGATCACATGCTCGCGATTAGGGATCACAGTCCCGTGATCTGAGATCACTTGCTCGGGATTAGGGATCACAGCCCCTTGATCTGGAGTTACATGCTCGGGATTAGGGATCACAGCCCTTTGATCTGGAATTACAGGCTCGGGATCAGGGATCACAGCCCCGAGATCAGGGATCACCTCCCCGTGATCTGGAATCACATGCTCGGGATCAGGGATCACAGCCCTGTGATTTGAGATCACATGCTCGGGATTAGGGATCACAGTCCCGTGATCTGAGATCACTTGCTCTGGATTAGGGATCACAACCCCGTGATCTGGAATTACATGCTCCGGATTAGGGATCACAGCCCTGTGATCTGGAATCACATGCTCGGGATTAGGGATCACAGCCTTGTGATCTGGAATCACATGCTCGGGATCAGGGATCCCAGACCCGTGGTCTGGAACCACATGCTCGGGATTAGGGATCACAGCCCCGTGATCTGAGATCACATGCTCGGGATCAGGGATCCCAGACCCGTGGTCTGGAACCACATGCTCGGGATTAGGGATCACAGCCCCGTGATCTGAGATCACATGCTCGGGATCAGGGATCACAGCGCCGGGATTAGGGATCACAGCCCCGTGATCTGGAATTACATGCTCGGGATTAGGGTTCACAGCTTCGGGATCAGGGATCACAGCATGTGGTATCAGATCAGCAGTGCTTTTCATGGAATCGGAGATTAGGCTGTCCTAGATGACAATAAGAATATAAAAATGGCTCCTCTGGAGAGGTTATGCTGTTTACAATGCATATCACATGTGACGATCGAACAAAACATACACAAAGGAATAGAAGTTAACAGAATAGTTGGACAAGGAAATAATTGATTGGACGTACTTAAAATACATAATATTAGAGTCAAAATCATCGTGTGAAATACCATTTAAGAGCCCATAAATTTTTTTTTTCTTTTGGAAGAACAATGCCATCTCTTTCCGAGCAATTGTGCAGCGGAGGCAAACAGCTTTTCACGCAGAGGCAGCAAAACTTGCGCAATACAGAAAATAGTGTTTAGGATCTTTAACAGGTGCATCGCAAAGTGGACAGACTAGTTTTTCTGAAAAAGTCGGTATTTCAGGGCACAAAAATTAAGTCGCAAGCGGCGCTGAACAATCCCCAAGATAAAAATGGTAGTTACGGGTTAGACACTGCAAGTACTTTGAGAGACTGTGATTAAAAATGCTTAGGAGAGACAATGTACGTATTTCTAACGGAAGACTATTCCACCATTTAATTAATAGATTCTGTGCAAATACTGTGTTGAAAAGATTTCTTGTTAGCTGTTCTGTAGTTCCAAGGGGTAATTTCTGTAACCACGTTTCATTTTCTTCAGTTTCAATTTTAGCATATTTTTGAGCCATAACCTCCATGGTATGCTGTGTTGCTGTTTCGTTTACTTACACAATGAAGTACATGAAGTAAAGGTTGTGCACTTTGAGAAAAGTGAGCTACTCATGAATGTAAGACTTAAAAAATCTTTATTTAAACTCGGTTAACAATCGTTAGTTATACTAATAGTATTTTAATTACAATTATTTTTAAAAATTAAAATAACTATAAAAACTGATTTACAAGATTACCGAGTGGGAATCGGATGTTTTAAGTGCGCGGTTGATTTTCTTCTTAAGCTGCCCAATTGATCTAATTGCCCTAATATTTTCAGGAAGAGAATTCCATAGTAAGGCACCGCTATAGCCAAAGCTACGTTTTAAATAGTCGGTACGCGGCTTGGGTAAGTTTAACTTACGGAAAGAATCGCGCATGTCATAGTCTGTGTGTCGCTCACTGAATAAATCTTGCAAGTACACTGGGGCTAACCCGTTGAGAGATTTAAACATCATAATAGCTTTCTGTTTTCGTCTTCTTAATGATAGCTTGTCCCACTTCAAATGACGCAAATTAAAAAAAAGGGACGGAAAAAAAGGGATGCCTGATCGCAGGTTACACAGAATATCGTCTGGTGACCTTAAAAATACACATTAATAACTACTTAATAACCGAGGTGAGGTCGTTACGGGAAAATCTCAAACTGATGCCTTGCCGTATTGACCGAGCGAGAGCGAGGTCAATACGGTAGACCGAGGTTTGAGATTTTCTCGTAACGACCGAACGGTCCAGATTATTAAGCTGTTTATTATATGGCTAGAAAGACGGTTCTAAAGAAAGAAAAAAATCTTAATTCAAGGGGAAGTCGTTACTTCACATCCGGTGATGCGAAACTGCACAACAGAATTCAGCGAGCTTACGCGTACTCCGTCAAGAATATATTTATTAGTGGAAAACAATGATCAATACGGCCACAAAAAGTATTTTAGTACCTGTTTGTAACTATATGACGAGATAAATTTCATCGACATTTTCAATAATTAACCGCCAGAAGTCAGCTCCTACAGAAAAGTGCTTCAAACTTGCATAAAAAGCCGTGCGGCCGTGTCGGTAAAAGAAAATACAATTTAAACGGAATCAGCACTACTCTTCGTCGTCACTTTCGATGAAAACTCTTCGCCTCTTCTGAGATTCCTGGATTATAGTTACTGGCCCGTTAAAGATCTTGAACTGGCACTCACACTGGATAAAAAAAACCGCTCGCCTGAAGATGTTGATAAACTGGCTTGTGTTACAGCAAGGGAATTAATTTGTTGCTGTTGACTGCTGTACTGCTCTGGTGTCACCAATTGCCTTTTGAATGGTGAAAAGACAGTGAAAGGAGACCTGCTTTCGGAAAGGAATCTCTGTATACTTCGTTGCAAACCCGACAGGGTGTCAGGTTCATAATCCGGTCACCATCCTTTTTCCCATATCTATAAAAAAAGCTTTGCCAATAAGTGGTCAAGGTCAGCAGCCGGTAAGTCCAAAACTTCTGCTATGCTTCCTTAGCCCATTGATGGCAAATATCGCTGAAATGTTTTCATTTTACTGGCAGTTTTCCTTTCCTTTCGTGGTTTTTCTCTTTGTTTGCATACGCTTTAGGTATCAGTGTACCCGAAATGACCATCATTCTTCAGCGCCGCGTTACGGTCGCACAGTTGACGCAAACCCTACTAAAGTATATATTTTCTGAAAGCTTAATAATTGTAGATTCCGAGGGTTTATTTACCAACGTAGAAAAAATTAAGGTTTGTCAAATAAAGCGTGCTATTTCTCAATGTACAGAGGTTCACTAAACATGTTCGTTTCCGCTCAGATTTGAGCGGGAGAACGCGATTAATATCGCTATGTCTTCTTGATTACTTGTCTGGTTTGATTCTGACACGCAGTTAAACTTTGAGAGTTGAAAAAACATGCATTCTCTTCACTAAAATTGTCATAACTTTTGAGAGAAGCAAAAAATAAAAATTCCACCGTTTTTTTGCCTGATCATCGGGCTACATTCTCTCCAAATTTCAGCGAAAAACGTGGAAAATTCGCTAGAAACGAACTTAAAATGTGCGCTTTACTCGCTGAAATTTTCGTTTCGAGATATGAAGGAAAATATAAATGCGGAATATAGTGACCTGTTGATAGACAGCATGATCTCCTCTTTGAATTAACCATTATCGTTAATTATAAAGTTCCTTTGAATTTACGATTATAGTTAATCTAGAACACTTACAGTCTGAAAGGAATTCTGAGAAGTAAGCATTTTTGTTGAAAAAGGACAATCATCAGTGTCCGGACAGGACTCAAACCTACGAATCTCCGCTTTCTGATCCTCTCCTCTAACCATCAGACCACCACGTTGCTGGTTCGACAAACCTCGATTTTGAAACAATATAATTCATACACTTATTCTACACCCTGTGGTAAGCATATATAATTACTCGCTAAAAATAATTTCATAAAGTGAATGGAAAAGGTCGATCACCAAACCATAACAAAAAGCTAACAATTTAATATCTGCGCTTAGGCCTAATCATCGTACATCAGTGATATTCTATGCAAAACTCTATTAAAAATTTAGTTAAATTTCTTCCCGTCGCCTTGTTCTTCCGTGGCCTAGTGGTAAGTAGCCGATCCTGCAAGCGACGGGTAATTCCTGGTTCAAATCCAGTCCAAATAACACGAATTTTTTTTTCAATTTGCTCTATTCTGAAACAGCCTGGGAAACAGTGTTCTAGATTAACTATAATCGTAAATTCAAAGGAACTTTATAATTAACGATAATGGTTAATTCAAAGAGGAGATCATGTTGTGATAGACCAAGTGAAGGATTATTGTTGCCGCAGCGAGTGAGCCTGAAGCGAACGATCGAGGCAGCTCTATAATCAGCAGAAGATTACATTATTGGGGATTGCAATCACTTTTTCTTACCAAACTCAAGGAATTGTGGTTATGCGCAAATGGGAGATTTAGGATGCGCAGTGGTATGCGCGAAGAATTGTGGTTATGCGCGAACGGAAATATTTTAGGATGCGCAGTGATATGGCGCAAGGAATTGTGGTTATGCGCCAATGAATGATTTAGGATGCGCAGTGAACCATAGAATCATTATTTTCACTACTTGCCGTGACGCTTAAAGTCGATAGACAATTAGCAAGAGGCAGGTACACAAGAGTCGCAAAAACTTTATCGTGCAAAAACTTTATCGTGCAAAATTAAATAGTTAATACATGCTCACGGTGCACGGTGCATGGTAGAAACTCCGATAATACATCGTTTCTACGGATATAGATCGTATACGTACCACCGTTTAAAATCTCCGATTTACGCCAATTAATACAACCGAGATATTTTATTTCACTTCCTCTCCGGTGACGCAAAAGCGGCTCAGCAGAACACGTCAACAGCGGCACGAAGTTATTGAGAATCTTGGCTCATTATTTATGTTTACTGTGGTTGAAAACTTAAGTCAATTTGCTTCACAATACTTAGTGATACTCTTGTTAAAGCTACGAACTAAGATGTGAAAACAACGCTTTTTAAACTGAAATTGACGTGTCGTTTACAAACTCGCGCTATATTTAGCAGGAACAGTAGCCGGCGAAATGCGTCGCGAACGTGTTCCACGAACGAACCATTTCTTTCTGAACCAAAACTTCCTGGGGTGGGAGAAAGCTTATTGTTTAAAGACAACATTTCGCTTGGATATATTGCTCGCTCTTAAAGCAATAAAAAGATCGTGAGGCGGCTTTTTCGCTGTGACACTATTTACACGGCATTGCTAGACTTAAGGTAATTCCCGAGTAAAAGAGCTCGCCATAGATTTCCAATGAAACTTGGTATGGTGTCATTACAGTACAAGGAGATGTTAAAAACGTAATAAAAAAAGGGGTCACCGTGCTTGTTTTCATGCCACGATGCTGACAAATATGGTTATTTAGGTGACGTTTGGTTATCTCAGTGCGCAACAAATAAGCTCGATTATTCTGCAATGCGGTTTGTTATATTACACAGAGTTCGACTTTCTTTGATTACTTAATCATCTACGTCCCGGAAAAAATGGCTTCAAATACCCTTCATTATTAATTGATATTTTATCTTTTAAAGGAAACATAATTTGGACTTGCTCTATTAGGCCCGTTACGCCTCTATCTGTACCATTTATTTCATTTGCCAAAAAAGTAGCCATAGATTTCTGCCAAATTTTTTCCCAGTTATTGCGTATGTATGTATGTATGTATGTATGTATGTATGTATGTATGTATGTATGTATGTATGTATGTATGTATGTATGTATGTATGTATGTATGTAAAATGAAGTGTATGCTTAGCGGATGATATTCTTTTCCTAAACAGGGAGAAAACCAAGCAGTCGTTGCAAGTAGGCAGTGATAATTAATCGACTAGATTGGAAATACGATAGCTTCATTGAAGATGTTTTTACAACATGCAAATTTGGCTGTTATCGAAAGGCTCTCGCTTTTTGAGTTTTCCTAACAAAGCTAGTTATTGTTTTGTCCAACAATACTTCACAAAAGAAACAGTTAGAGGTGAATAACAAAGAAATACCTATACCTATGCGCGTTTAGACTGCGCACGCGAAGTTCGCTTATTTCTGAGCGGTACTGTATGTCATAAAAAAAATTAACTGTACTGTTTCACAGAGTATAATGTGACTATAATGTCAAATTCATAATAGTTTCGAGTTGATTTTTCAACATTGCAAGTTACTGTTGGAGAGACAACTGATTTTCAATACCATAATGTTGATGTGACAGATTTTAGAGTACTTAACAAAATGTTATTTTATATATAATTTTATTAAACAGTTTTTTCGCAATGTCTATTGCTCAATGTTGATGTTTAGCCACCGTTCATTTTCTCAGGAAAACAGGTTTTCACAGGTTACAATAATAGCCCCCTCTATGTACCGAAACACATCATGAAGTTCTGCTCAAAAATTCTTTTCCAATTGCCATTAAAAGTATTATTACTTTCGTCCTTTTTTAGGGCAGGGGAGACAAGGCATAACATCAAATATTATATAATGAAAGCTGAAATAACAAAAATTCTGAAACAAAAAATGCTACACGCACGCAACATCTATTCAAACCTAGAAAACCCCCGACCTGAAGACAGTTTCAATTGATTTCCCATCATAACGATACCATTATGTCTTGTGTAAAACAATTCTTCACAGTTCAGTTCATAGGGTAACAATTACCATACTCAATATCGTTCTCCCTTTCGGCAGCATTTTTACCATTTAGGGATACTAGTTTTACTTAAGCGGGCTCAAAATGTTGCTCCTGGTGGGATGTTGCTCCTTTGTAAGCCTGATTTCCGCCGCTCGCGCAAGTAGGTTAGTAGGGACTGAATGATTTTCGTTCAATTTTTCGTTTTCTACTAAGCTTAATGTGGATTCACATTTCCTCTAACGAAACAGACAGATGCTGAAGACACGAAAAAAGCGTTCGCGTAAACAAAGGAAAGGAAATCTTCGAGGACGTAACTCGTGCAGGTATTGATCAAGAAGTTATCACTTCGAGTAGCGAAAGCGCCAAGGAAATTATGATAAGAGAAATGTATGGGCAATTCTCGTTTTGACAGGACACGATCCAACATGAACCAAGCACGGATCTTGCAAAAACATTCTCTAACAAAATCACATCTGCGTGAGAAAACTGACAAGAAACTGATTTCAAGAGATTTTCTTGCAAGCGATCTCCGGCAACAATTGTTCGACCGGCCAACTCTTGCCAAGACTCTTGTGAGTCCGGTTCTGCGGGTTTGTCTTAGCCTTTGCCTTCAATTTTCGCCCGGATAACACTAACACTAACGGCCTCGTTCTCCCAATCAACGCTCCTCCTCGTCTAGAGCAATATTTCTTCTGTTCAAAGTAGGAACCTCGATCACTAGCCGCTAACACATCAGCTCGATCCTTATCAAATGAAATCGAATCCTTTTTCCTCTTTGAAAGTTTCTTCTCAAACTCATTAATAATTCATCAAATTAAAACAAAGAAAATCATAAGCGTGAAGGAGGTTTGGATACCAGGTCTTGATTAGCATAGATTTTGACGATTTTACTTCTCCATTTACTCCTTAGTTTTTGTTTCGATTGAGAAGATATATCAAACACTCGAGACAGTGTTTCATCGGATATTCAAACACCTCCAATTTCGTCAAAAAATACTCCGCTGCGCGTCGTATTTTCAACTCTCTTCTTGGTGTTTGGATATCCCGATGAAACACTGTTTCTCGTGTTTGACATATTACTTCGCACTAGCAAAAGGACAAGCTAGGACTCTTGCCTTTTTCTTCGACTACATGGAATAGATACAAGTTTTTAAATTTTTGTCTACAAATTAGAAAATTCTTGAAGCAGCTCACAAACGTGTGAAAATCGCACAACACCACGTCTGTCACGTGATCTTTTAATGCAAATTAACTCTCGTGTTGACAACGTGTTGACAGTTATCAATTAGAGATAATTAATGGAAAGAAACAATTTTCGTTAATAACTTTGCTTACATTCAATCTTTTTTCATAGAATTTTTTTAAAATAAAAGATTGCTATAAGATCTAGAAAAGATTGCTGTAAGATCTATCTAAAAAGGCGGAAAACAACTTTTTTGAAAAATGATCAAATTTGGGGTACACTGAGACCTTAATTCAATTTCTCCCTGACCAATGAACTCGTTCGTAATTTGCCGATGTAACTTCATTTTTTCCTTAAAATAGTGATATAATTAACTCTCTGAATGTTAATCGTCACTCATCGTCTTGTATCACAACGATTTTAAATGTAAATAAAGGAAATATGGTCTAGATTTGGATAACCTTTTGTGTTTTTTCTTTTCCTAATTTGCATAATCCGTAATCGTAATCAGCCCGTGGGCATTACAGGAGAATAATGCCCTGTCGTTAAGTTGCACTTAGCCAATCAGAGCGCGCGTTATACTGGATTCAAACACAAGCCATATAATAATAAATAATTAAGAAAGGTACCTTCGGAACACCTATAAATAGAAAAATCTCGAGCCAGAATCTGGCAAAGGCTATTGGAATTCAAAAAGAAAGTAGTGGCAGCAACATTTTTTTCAGAGATACTTAGCATCAATGTCGGCTTAACCAAAAATGCTGTTGTTAGCACTGTTTGAAAACAAAGAAAAAATGGAAAAAAGTTCTTACCAAGAGTTCTTCAGAATTTACCTTTTCATGTACAAAAGCTAAAATTTATATCTTAAGATGCCAAATCTTCGTAGCTGAAAGACTCGAATCAAACGACTTAAAAAATTGACGTCAGTTTTCATGCGTCTGTCCTGTTATTGATCATGAATTTCATCATAACAAGGGCATTGTGAAAGGAGCTGTGGATCCACGAGGAGATAGTCGAGTGGATCCGCAGACTAACAAATTGTCAAATTGTCCGCTTTCGTTCCTTGACGCATCGCATAAATTATAAATTCATGTGTCTGTCCGGTTATTGACAATAAAAACTTGTCAATGAGCGCGCGAGAATTTCTGCAGTTATCGTAAAAACGTTTGCATTTACAAAGAATGTTTCAGATACCCAGTACCATCTTCAGTTGAAGGATGTTTACAAGGGAGTGACTTTATATGAAGTAAGAAACAAGTACGCGATAATTGCAAAATGTAGAATAATGGTTACAAAACTGGGAAAATAAAAAGGTGCAAGTACAAGTTTGTGAAAAATGTTGAACACTAAAAGTAATTAAAGTAAGAGTGTTAATTAAGGACGTTCGCGCGAAAATGTTCTAACATTGATTTTTTTTCTGAAAATTTTACCACTGAAAGATGATCAGTTAGTGATGTCAGAAATGTAAAAAAAATGGGGGTCACCGACCTCGTTTTGGAGAGAACATGCCCGGAAGAACACCTAAATCTGAGTAAATCGGGCTTCGTTATGGAAGAAGGACACAGTGGCTGCAAGTCCCAAAATGGAGGGAAAGGAAAATTTTCCAAAATTTAAGGTGGCTCTGAAACCCCTTCGCAGAATTTTTTTTAAACTTTGCAAAAAGTTCCATCTTATCATGTTGATTACAATTCGATAATAAAACATGGGGGTCACCGAGCTCATTTTTGAGTCATAAGCGCTTAAAGCTAAAATTAAGGGTGTTTTTAGCAGGTCATATTGTTACTATGGTAACCTATTGTGCCTCAAAACTAACAGCAACTTGTTCACCGATGATTGGCCAGTTTGTTGATATTATGATTTTGGCATCAACTGGTATAGAGTGGTTATAATGACCCATCAAACTGTAAGCCTTGGAAAGTAGTGGAAACTGTTTCCAGCCCCCTTAAACTAACATGTTTCAGTTGCTTATTCAGTGCAGGTCGTTCCCATTCAACATGAAGGGCTTCTTTGATCTTAAGTTAAAACCTGGTAAGAGCCGATTCCAAAATGCAAAAACAATTAAAAGAGCCTAGGTTCTTACACAACTCAGAACCCTAAAGATGTTTCTAGACATGGGAATTGAGATCTGAGATTAAGCGCTTCCTAAGTTAGTAGTCCTGGTGCCAAAATGTCTAGCGGTTTCACCGACATAACACTGAGGCATGACATTCTGCCCGTGTAGATTTGGGGCAACCATAAACACAAAATACACGGAATCCAGAAACAGTCCATTCAGAAAACGGGGATTTGGCATAAGGTCCATGAAGAATGAAGTAAAAAGAAAAAAAAACACTCGGTCGAGGAAGTTGGTGAAACGAAAATGGCGACTGTTTTTCATACAGTCACGATTGTCTCTTTTCCACGTTAAAGTAAATGTGGTTGGTTATTTAAGGTAGTCCGTGGGGGTAGTCCGCAGGGTAGTCCACGGAGTGGGGGTCACTGGGTAGTCCGCGGGACGGGGCTCAGTCTTTTCAACTCTCCCCTCACTGAAATATAAATATAACATTCCTGGTTGTTGATAAAACTGATAAGGAGCAAATTATATCAAGGGCAGGTTATTGGTCAGTACTTTTTATTACAGTAACTAAATCATCAAATCCTAATAGCTCATAACCCTTTGTCCAGTAAACAATAAAACTGGCTTTCGATTGCAGTTTGCCGGTCTTTGACATTAATGAATTTACTGCTATCTTGAACTCCCAAGGGAACTAACTGGGATTTGAAATAGTACATCCTAGTTATTAATTTGTCCCGTCCAGGATAACAAGGTGAGGTCACAGTGAGGTCAAGGATAAACACTGCAGTCTGAGACAGCCATTGTGGTATACCGACATTGTTGGTAAAAATCTTTGACCTCATCAACTCATAAAAGCTAGACTTGAGTTGTTCAGTGGAATGTAACAACTTTCTAATAAGTTTCAGAGCTTCTACTTGCTTGCGTCATTTATCAGAGATTCTGATCTCCTCATAATTTACTCTCAGTAGTATTTCTTTGGGAAGAAAATGTGAATACAGTCTCTTCATGAGCCAGATTTGTGACATTATTGTTTGTAGCTAGAGGAGGTTGGACATGCACTGAATTGTATTATAGGTAATGGACCAATAAGGAGCATGTATTTTCTCACAAGTCAATTTGGAAGGAATCGCTTCTTGAGGGAAGAAGACGTTTTTCGTTGTGTGTTTTCTCGGCATGAATGTGTTTGACATTTGGTTGTCTGTTCAGAGCTCCCGCGAACACCATGAGAATTTGATATTTAAATAAAGACAGTAAATTTTTAAGCTTGGCAATGAAAAGTGAAAAGTAAACTAATCAACATGACACGAGCGTTGGACAACGAAAATCTGAGTCCTGACAGGAATCGATACCATGACCTCCCAAACACTCTGTGGGTGCTCTATAAACTGAGCTACGAGAAATCATGGAAAGCAAGGTCATTTAACTGAGTTTTTATGGGCGTTTACATAAAACTTTGTAATACTAAGCCATTTCTGGTCTTGTCCAATCCCCTCTGGTATGGAGGGGAGCTGGAATTAGGTTTCTAATTTTACGTTCTTAAATGAGAAATGCCATACAAATTTATTGCATCGTTCTTAAAAGTTCAGATGCATTATCATGATGGTCATTCCACTCAAAAAAGCATGTATTAAGTTATTTTTGTTAACTTTTTAAATGGTTTTATCCATTTTTCAGATACCATTATGCTCCTGTCCATCCTCAGCTACAGACACGCCTAATGAAAAAAACAGACAAGGAGAACTGATGAGACGCAGAAAGCGGAGCCTGCTTATCCGTCTCGTAATAGGTTTGGGCCTTGTGGGAACGTATGTGTACTTAAATTTACAGAACTTTGCTTACTATAACAGGTGGGGATCAGTTGTTTCTTGTCAGAACAGTGAATTAGAAATAAATCAGCTGCTGGAAGTTACATACAAAGTTTACAAAATACTAGACGACATGAAAATCCGGCATTAGTTGATGTATGGTTCCATTTGGGGAGCGCATCGTATCGGCAAACCGCTCCCATGGGACAATGATGTTGACATTGGATTTGATGGTGAAGGAATATTTGCAGATATGACCTTGGATGAATTTCTTGCTCCTTTTGTGGCAGCAGGTTTTAAAGCAAGTAACAAGTGGATACAGAAAGGAACCATGTAATTCACAAAGAGGGTTTGTGGTTGTCTGTCGATCTGTTTGCATTCTACAATCAAGGAGGTACTATGACGAGGACGGGAATAGAGTCATGGGCCTTTGCTCTCAATTACAGGATATATCATTCATTTCCTGCATGGCTGGTGGAACCAGAACTACCTCAAGTGAAATTTGGATTCTTCAATATATTTTTTTTTTTGTATTTTATTTATTTATTTTCTTTTTACAGGTATAGTACAAACAACATACAGATCGAAACATACAAACATTACAAAATTTACAACAACTACCTTAATTACAAAAAAAATAATAATAATAATAAAATAGAATAAATAAATAAAAAGCTACACTGCACTACACTACAAGGCTTACATAACTTATTCGACTTGAACTTAAAATACAGAGTAATACAGGGAGTATTAGAAAAACGAAGTTTGGATAACAGCTACTGTTGTATTAATGGGAGTAACGGCTTCCATTTTTTATCATGGAAATGGATTTTGTTGTTTCTTTTCGCGATAAAACGTTCGGTTTGAAACGTTTTTTTAAATTTATCGACTAACAGTCTTACACATAAACAGCCCTTATTTAACTTACAGTGGTAAATAAAATATTTGCTTTCAAGAATGATGTAATTGACTAGAATGCTTATATTATCTGTATCTAAGATCCCAAAAAGGACATTCATGATATCAAACCTAATAGTTATATTAAAAGAATCAAGTACAGACTTTAAATCATTCCAAAACATGCTTACTTTTGTACAATGGAAAAAGAGATGTTCTATGGTCTCCAACTCCTTTTCACAAAAAATCGCACAAGGGAGAATCTACTTTTTGAACTTAAACAGCACCTTGTTCGTGTATAAGATCCTGTTTAATATTTTATATTGGAATTCTCTTAATTTAGTATCCAATGTTGTTTTGAAGGGCAGTAGATATATCTTTTCCCAGTCCAACTGAAATGTGTGTGTGCTGAAAGTTTCGTTATATTTCTTTTGCGCTGTTGGTATACTGGATATCTTAGAAACAAAACTGTCATATAATGACTTTGATTTAAGATTTTGGAAATTGACTTTTTTCCCTTCAATACGTAACTTGAAATCAGTTTGGATTAGATCATGAGTTTTTGAAGAGATAGAGTTTTTATTTGTTTTTAATATTTTGCGCCATTCTTCAGGAAAAGCATTGAAGAGACTGAAAAGTAGAAAATGTTCAACTGGTGAAAGAGTTGAATATAATGGTTCCTTGTTCGACTTGAAACCTCCCCACGTGTCGTAGAGGTCTCCAATTTTTACAATTCCAAGATCAATCAGCCTACTGTTATAGACTGACTTTGATTCAATGCAAATGAACTGGTTGTTCCATATGACCTGATTTGCTATTTCAGAGGATGAGGAGGGGTTGTCTTCATTTAAAAGGGTCCACGCCACAATGCATTCTTTGTAAAATTCTGGAAGAGTTACCGGTAGTTTAGTGTAGTTAAAATTGCAATGAAACAAGAATTTTCCCCCTACTTTCTTAAGATAAAAATTCAGAAAAAACTTCCAGCCAGCGGGATCAATGGAGAGATATCTCTTAATACAAATTATTCTTTGGGCAGAGATCATTGACTCAATGTTGGGCATTTTCAAGCCTCCTTTATCAATAGGGTTAATAAAAGCTCTGCGCTTTACTTTATCTTTTCCTTCCAAACAAAGGAATATAGCAAAGTATTTATTTTTTTTTGATAAACTCTCCTTTATTTGAAATGAGAACAACCCTGTATAAAATCTTTGGTATGGCGAAAGACTTGATCACTTGAATTTTTCCAAGTAGTGTAAGACCTCTCCAGCTCCAGCCCTTCAGCAATCCTCTCAGAGATTTCTCGATTGATTCAAAGTTAAGCTTATAAAACAGTGCGTGATTAAAGGTGAAATGAACCCCTAGGATCTTTATGGCCTTACTTATTTCATTAACACCTAGTTCTGAGCTGTTTACTTCCATATTTCCTAGTAGAAGAATTTCCGTTTTGTCGTGATTGACCTTCAATCCGGAGTATGTACTAAACAGATCGATAGTATCAAAAAGGGTGCGATGCGAAAATTTGTCCCTAACAAATGATGTCATATCATCAGCGAATATAACTAATTTGATTTCGGAACCATCCACCTCAATACCCTTAATTTGATCGTTATTACGTATGGATAATGCCAATAATTCAAGTACTATTATGAAAAGAGATGGCGAGAGTGGGTCGCCCTGGCGAACACCCCGTTTAACATTGAAAGAGGGGGTGGAAAAACCATTATTGAAAACACAACTTGATATATTATTATAAAACGTCTTGATCCACCCCAAGAAGGATTCTCCAAAGCCAAAGAACTCTAGCGATTTGTGGAGGAAGTTCCAATTTAGAGAATCGAAGGCTTTCTCAAAATCAATTGCAGTCATTATACCTTGGTAGTCTCGCATTTTAGTAAATTCCAACACAGCGGTTATCGTACGAGTTGCATCAAAAATTGTTCGTCCTTTTACAAAGGCATTCTGGTTATAATGGATAATATGTGGTAGGACATTTTCTAGCCTTTTAGCGATAGCTTTTGAGCCAATTTTAACATCAACATTTACCAGAGAAATCGGTCTCCAGTTTTTAATCCATCTCCTATCTTTGTCCTTTTTCTCAATTAACGTTATTACGGCTTGCTTTTGCGAATGTGATAATTCACCATGAAAATACGCATAATTTAATGAGTCCACTAGAAATGTTCCGATTTCTGACCAGAAGAACTTGTAAAATTCTATAGTGAGCCCATCGTTTCCAGGAGTTTTATCGTTACTAAAGGTAGACAGAACCTTGAAACATTCGGAATATGTTAATTGACCCTCGCACGTTTCCCGCATTGAGTCGGTTAACTTAGGAGATGAGAGGGTATCTTCCAGAAAAGGACAAATCGAATAGTCAGTTTGTATTCCCGACTTTTCGTCATAAAGTTCAGAATAAAAACTGTGAATTTCAGTCATAATAGTGTCCGGAACAGTAGTCTCTTCTCCATTTGCTCGAAGAAGTTTCCGTATGCAGCTTTTTTTCTTATTTCTGTTTTCCAGATTTAGAAAATACTTGTTGTTTCTTTCCCCTTGTTCAAACCATGTAGCGCGGGAACGAATGATTGAGCCTCTTACAATGTAATCATACTCTTGTTCGTATTCTGTTTTGACCGATTCGAGGTTGACAAGGTTTTCTTGCGTCGGTGATTCTGCTATTTTTTCCTCACATATTTTAAGCCTGTTTTCAATTGTTTGAATTCTATTTCTCCTTTCTTTAGCTTTCAGTTTGCTATACGATATACTTTCCCCGCGAATTTTGTATTTCATCCAGTCCCATTTAATTCTCGAATCATCGCAAAAATTAATTTCGTCTATCCACTTAGGAAAGTTCTCGCGTAAACGCTCAACGAAAAAAGCGTCATCCAAGAGACTGTTATTGAACTTCCAAAAAGATGGGCCACGCTGCTGATCATTTACACTGTCAATTTCTAAAGTTATTGCATGGTGATCCGTTCTTATAGCTGTCACTATGTCGACTTTAGCTACGTCATCTTGTAATAGGTCACTAATGAGCCAATAATCAAGGCGTCTTTGAATAATTGGGCTTTTTTGTCTCCAAGAAAATTTCTTGCTATTAGGATTACGGATTCTCCAGGTGTCAACTAAATCATAATTCAGCATAATGTCCTCCACACACTTAACTGAGTCTTTTAACACAGGGTTTTCACCCGAACAATCTAGGTCTGGGTCCATAGTTACGTTCCAATCCCCTCCTAATATAATTTTGTAGTCAAAATCATTGTATCCCTCATCATAGATAAGCTCAGACAATGTTTGGAAGAACAACGATTGCTTAGTGGTGGTATTGGGAGCGTAAATATTTATCAGAAGGAATGGAACATCTTGAATAGTTGTCTCTAAAATGAGGTACCTCCCATCCTCATCCGATCGAATTGATTTCAATTTGAAGTCAAAGGATTTGCGTATAAGGATGGCGACCCCACGACTATGGTTAGAGCCATGAGCAAAGTAAATGTCCCCGGACCACTGCTTTTTCCATTGATTTTCAATCTCTTCAGTGCTGTAAGTTTCCTGCAGAAAGCAGATGTCTGAATTTTGCTTGTATAGCCAGTTGAAAATGGACTTACGTTTTTCAAAAGAACGGATACCCCGAACGTTCAGCGAAAGAGTTTTAAACTTTAAGTTGTTGAAATCCATTGAAATTTGCATACGTGTAGTGGAAAAAGACAACAACAGTAGCTGTTATTCCCAGAAGGGTCACTGTTACTCGAACAATTAACGCATTCCTGATTTTGTCAAGTGCAAACTGAATAAATATAGAATAACATACATAACAAAACAAAAGAAACGAGATGAAAAGCGTAGCCAGTGTAAAGAATTAAACTGTTGAAGCTACGCCTGGACGAGATCAAGTGTTATACTTTTGTTTAAATCGAACTTCAGAAGAGAACTAAGGAATATGCTAATCGATAGCTCCCAATAGAAACGAAAAAAATAAGAAGTGAACTACTTCCTGCGAATTCTAAAAATAAATAACCTGGAACCTATTTATTTATGATTTTACCTCCACACCGTCAATAAAGAGTTTATAGGGTTCCGTTCTACTGAAGGCCGCCCGTTTTCCATCTTTTCTTGCTTGTACCATCTTCGGAATAAGCCTCTTCCTCATATCAATCACCTGCTTAGGTAGATCAGGGCCAATACCGAAATTCGACTGGCTATCGATGTTGCGTCGGCAAGAAAAGAGGTTTTCTCGATCTTTAAAGCGAAGACAGCGTGCTATGATGGCCCTGGGTTTTCTTGTGTTTCGGTCCTTTTTACCGACGCGGTGGACTCTTTGGAACTCAATAGATTGGGCGTTTTCCACATTTAACTCTTTCTCCAAGAAAGCTTTCAAAACGGGTTCAGTATTCTCTTCCCCTTCGATTTCTGGAATGCCGTAGAAACTTTGGTGGCGATACAATGGCGGGTGGAGCGTTCGCTTGGTCTTCTTTCACACTCTCTTTCAACCG